TACAGGGAGTTGGGGGCAGAGGGAGGCCAAAGGACCCTTTAAAAGGGATATTGGAACGGTAAATTTCTTTTCCATCAGAAGTTCTTTGAAAAAGCTGTATTCTTCTTTCATTGGAGTATGTGCCTTAGCAAAAGTTTCAGGTACCTGACACCAAACAGAATAAAGATGTTGCACCGTGTTTTTGCAAATCACCAGGTGGGACCAGTGTATATTTTGTTGGTTTGTTGAGTGTCTGTGGCCTTGGTTCCCACAAGTTGCCCTGCAGCCCATTTGGCTAGACCAGAACAATTGCGAGAGTGGTGTACTACCAGCAGTGATCTGAAGATGGCAGCATTGGGCGACCTATCTCCTTTTCCTAAGCACAGGCCCAGCACATCCAGTAGCTGCCTTCCACAGGAGTGTTTGCATTGCAGCTTGTCACTCAGACTTTTTTCTGCGTAACGACTGTATGTATGTAAATGATTCTGCTTTTCTTCTGTGGAAGAAGTCTGATCTATCATTCCTGTTTTGGTTTTCAGTTAATGATTATATGTAATTATATTCAAATAAAATATTTATAAATAATTACATATAATTAGTGGTATGTAAAATGTGGAATTCATGAACATCAGCTCTGATGAAAGGTACCCTTTAATTTAGGAGGTGATAGTCTTAGTATTATTTGTTTCTGTTTAAAAGACATCAGTGGCCAAGAACCTGCAATTCTCTTTTACAGGTGTTCTTATAAGGTTCAGGGTGGTTTTTTCTTTTTATTTCCTTTCTTTTTTTTTTTTCTGTGGGTTTTGTTTTGTTTTGTTTTTGGTTGTTGTTTTTATTTTGCTTTTGCTAATACATAGGATATTTGTTTAGTAGATCTCTAGGGAATATATTATAGATCCACATCTGGAGAGAGTGCTGTGGAAAACAAATTATGTTTTCTTAAAATTTTGGGAAGCAATTAGTTATCCTTGAGATCTGAAAGGTCTCAGGGGGTCATCCAGTTCAACTCTAAGCAGGCTTTGCATTTAAAACCAGACAGAAGAAATGTGCAGCTGTCCCTGCTTCCCCATCAGTGATCATGCCCAGGGCACTCTGTCTTGTGAGATCTCCATGGGTATTGAAAACAGAAAGAGAAAAATTGTTCTGAGTAAGTCCATAATTCAAATTTTGCCAACACCTGAGGCTCCGGTGCATTTTACCATTGCTTTTTTATCTGTTAGCCACACATGGAGCTGCAAATGGAAAATGAACTTCAAGTAAAAAGGTCCAATTTTCTGGAGAGAGGAGGCTGTAGAAGTAGCATATAGGCTTTCTCTGGTTGGGGACAACAGGAAACCAAGGGAAAAGGTAGATAGCGAATGAGCAGATGGAGCTATGTAAGATCAGAGTTTCTGGAAGGACTCCCAGACGAGGTATGGGGCCAGAGAGCATTCTGAGCGATGGGAAGGAGGATGCACAGTGGCCTTTTCTTTTGAGCTTGCCCTGATTCTAGGAGCACATGCACCAAAGAAACACTGGTAGATTTAGCTTTGAACTTTTAGTTGAGTTGATGTAGACCTTTTAATTCCTGCCTTAAAATAGGTTGGAATGCCAAATCTATGTGAAGCCCATGTGATCGTCACACCAGACTTTCTCAGGGGCTCCCTCAGCCTGTTTTTTTTTTTTTTTTTTTAAATTTTTTTTTTTAATGTTTTATTTATTTCTAGGAGAGAGAGAGACACAGCGTGAGCAGGGGAGGGTCAGAGAGAGAGGGAGTCACAGACTGAAACAGGCTCCAGGCTCCGAGCTGGCAGTCAGCACAGGGCCCGACGCGGGGCTCGAACCCACGAACCGCGAGATCATGACCTAAGCGAAAGTCGGACGCTTAACCGACTAAGCCACCCAGGCGCCCCTCCCTCAGCCTGTTTTGATTTAGGTCATTTTGTATGCACTGAGACAGCATAAGAAAAATTAAAAATGCTCTTAACAGGCTGACCTAAATGCTCCTATAGCTGGCTCCATATGTGTATTTTGGAGGCTTTTGAACATGACAGCTCTCTCTCTCTCTCTTTTATAAACTCTTCTGTATTCAATGTTAAGGCTTCAAGGCTTTTACATCATGTGCTGTAAATGCAATAGAAATTAGGGAAATCAGCCAAAGACACAGTAAGAAGATACCATGAGATTCCAGTTTTCCTCTTTTAGACTTTCATTTCTCCATTTGTGGTTGTAAGGGGGAATCATGCATCTATTAATCTTTTACCTAAAAACTTTAAATTGTGACAGTTGTCAAGCTCTTTAAAATCTGGAGCCCTAGATCTCTTAAATGTCACCATATAGACTGGTCCTGGGTAAAATCACTTTATCTCCTTAAACTTGAGTTTTCCTTTGGGTGAAACAGGAAGCTGAACATGCCGGACTCTAATTCTATGACTGTATAATCATTTCTCTTCATTGTGTCCAGGACTGTGTGAAATCTTTTGGAGGATGGAGTTGAGGGCTATCTTTTAGCATTTGATCCTCTTCTCCTGAGGTCTCTGTGATACTGACTTCTCTCAATGCCCTGCCCCCACTGGCCCAAGTCTATTCTAAGTCACCTGCCTCCCTTGCTCCTTGACTGCCTTTGCCTCCTAACTGGTCTCTCTGCTTCTACCTCTGCCTCCCCCTCCCCCCTACAGTCTGTTCTTTACCCAGCACCAGCACGATCTTCTGAGACTAAATTAGAACATGTCTAGCTCTTGCCTGAAACCCCTCCAATGACTTCCAACTGCCCTTGGAAATATAAATCCGTTCCTGCCTTTGCACCTACCTCCTCTGCTAGGAGTGCTCTTTCCCTAAGATCTTTATACAAAAGGCTGCTTTTCAAGTGGGTTGCAGCTTAAATATCACTCCCTCAGAGATGCCTTCCCTGGCACTTCATCTAAAATAGCCATCTCTTCTGCTTAATACCTGACACATTGCATGGATTTATTACATATATAGCATATTCCACCTGGAATTATCCTGTATATTGATTTTTGTTGTTATATCTCATCCTGGCAACAAATAGGCTTCATAGGATCGGGGACTTTGTTGCCTTGTTCATTGCATATCTTTAGCGACTAAAGCAGATTCTGGAATATAACAGGTGCTCAAGGAGTGTTTGTAGAATGGATGAATGAATGAGTGAGTGAATGAAAGAATGAATGTCACAGGCAGAAGAACTACCTGCCAGAGAGGTTATAGTCACCTAACTAATTAGAAGCAGGGCCAAGACTAGAACTCAGGCCCCTTCCTGTTTCTCTTTTTTCCAGGTCCTGCTGCCATACAGCAAGCTTGACTTAGAGATAGTTCTCTCATTCGCTACTTATTTATTCACCAAATATTGAGCTCTTATGTTTCAGACACTACTCCATATCAGTAGTTCTCAAGCAGAAGTGATGTTGGTCTCCTGGGAACATTCTTCGATATCTAAAGATGTTTTTAGCTGTTACAAGTGGGGTGGGGGGTACTAGTGACAGCTGGTTGGTGGAGGTCAAGGGTGTTATCCTCTGTATGTCCTATAATGCACAGGATAGCCTCCCACATTAAGAATTATCTGGCCCGAACTGTCAACAGTGCTGCGGTTGGGACCCTGTTCCAGATGAGCAGATGCTTGCTCTCATGGAGTTTATAGTTTATTGTCGGGGGGGGGGGGGCAGATGACAATGTATATCACATAAAGAAATTAAAGATCATGACAAAAAGGTGGTACAATGGGAAAGAAAGATAAGTCAGAACAGAGTAAGGAGGGCTGGTGGGCATTGTGGGTGATGAGGGGAGGAAGGACTATAATTTTACCCTTTTGGGGAGGTGAATCAGGGAAGGAAGTTTTGCCTTGGGAGGTTTAGCTCCTTGACCTCCAGTGACCAGTGCTTTGGGTTCAGCCCATTCAAGTTCATGGATCATCCTCATGTTTAAAAAATATAAAACCGTTCTGAAGAAAGAGACATCTTAACCTCCACATGAAAATAGAGCAAACTGCTGTGGGTTAGAAATAATTATTATTTTCCACCACTTTTCAGGGGTGTTTAAATTCTCTTTCTCAACACTGTCAGTGCTCTATCATCACTAATGCAGGGCAGTGTTAATTTGATGCAATTTGTATTGCTCACTGTCAACTTCTCACTTTTCTCCCAGAGCAAAAACAGTGTGATTTCAGCCTCTCTCAAAGAGCATCGGGAGATTTTTGGTTGTACAGAGGTTTCTGTCTGTCTAGGTTGGTTTCTTAAACTCAACAGAAACAACTGTAGATTTTAATGTCTTAGGAAAGCTGTAGTAGTTGATGCTGGTAAAACGCAGGTCAGCGAAATGGTTCTTACTATATATGTTTTTATATATGTATCTATACATACATACATATTTCTATGTGTAGCATTCATAGATATACATTTAAGATCTCACTGAAAAAATCAGGCTAAAATTAGTGGCTTTGGTAATTTGGTAGGTGTGTACTTGCTTTTATGGTCTCCCTCTTGTTTCTGTACCACCGTTCTTTACCAAACATTGGCACCTACTAGGTACTCAACAAATGTTTGTTGAATGAATAAGCAAACTGCAAAAATGAGTTTGAGATTACTGGATTCCAAGTTATTTTTCCACATTTGCATGAACTTATTTATGTCAACTGAAACACAACTTGGTAAATGCAGAAGTTTGGTAAATGCAGAAGTGTATTCTTAGGGTGGTATGACTGTGACATAATCATTCATTTCTAAATCTTTAAAAAAATTTTTTTAAATTATTGCCAGGTATATAGTTGACTTATGGGGTTTCTGAATCCACCAAGCACAAGACTCTTAGTAATTAATAACTTTTCTGCATACCTTTTACCTAGGGAGGGATTATTAAGCAAGAGAATAGATTTTAACGAACATCTTGATTCAAATGTATTTAAATGGACAGTGCTGAAAGTAGTATGCCCAGTGCACCATTTTATTTTGGGTGCCATTTATTCTATAGAAGTGTTCTTCTATGGATGTGTGTCCATGCTTGGTTTTTTTTTTTCCATTTTTTTCTTTCAGTGCTATTTCTTCACGATCGAGTTTGGCCTTTGCAAGCAAGAAGGGCAACTGCGGGCATATGGAGCAGGACTCCTTTCCTCCATTGGAGAATTGAAGGTATGAAGCTGTGAATGAAAACATCCTTCCTGAGCAAACTGGTTCAAGGTCATGGAAAATATTGATTTGTTTGTCTGAGCAGTTCTACTCATAGGCACCCCATGAATATTTAATACAGAGGATTTGGCACCTCAGATGTGGGTGCTGACCTAACTTTTTGCACCTCTGAAAATGGGTCATGCCTTTCTAGGTGTGTGGTGTGACTCAGATGGACGAGCAGCCATGTGCGCAGATCAACAGAAATGACAAATGTATGCTTGTGTTGGGTAACATATGACTGGCCTAAATTTAGTGCTGAAAAGTGGGCAGCAAGTTAGCAGTAATTGCTTCATTGAAATTTCCTTATAAGGATAGCTTGGCTATTCTCAATTCTGTTATCCCCAGGACTCCCATGGACTCCCTTGAATTTGCTTTCCAAAGGAAATTTGAGAGTATGTTAGCCTCTTTGAAATTAATGTGTTTTAAAACATTTGTGGACATATGCAATTTGGGCAAAAAAGCCAAAATATACCTATGTTGAGAGAGGTAGCTAATGTGTGTAGCGATGCCTAGGGAATGCTATTTTTCTTGCCTTAAAATACAGTAAAATGGTTATTTCTTGTATGGTCCTCTGATCATTTAAATCTTCTTGTTACTTAAGAAGTTCTCTCTATACCGTTGGGGGACAGCAAGTTTTGATGAATTTGGAATTTAGTGTGATGTATTATCTGGAAATGGTACTGAAAATAATCTTTCTTTGATTATCCAGACTAAGATCAGGATAATTGACTATCCTAGAGTTTTTATTTGGAGAATTGATTATCCTTATAGTTGAATAATGATTATTGGAATGTCCTGGTTGTTTATATTCTTTTTTTTTTTAATTTTTTAAATGTTTTTATTTATTTCTAGGAGAGAGAGAGAGAGAGAGACAGTGTGAGCAGGGGAGGGTCAGAGAGAGAGGGAGTCACAGACTGAAACAGGCTCCAGGCTCTGAGCTGGCAGTCAGCACAGAGCCCGACGCGGGGCTCGAACCCACGTACCGCGAGATCATGACCTAAGTGAAAGTTGGACGCTTAACCGACTAAGCCACCCAGGCGCCCCTGTTTATATTCTTGAAAGATACAGTTTACCTGTAGTTTTATTAGGTCCATTTGCTTTATGGTGCCATTCATTCATTAATTCATTCCTCAAACATTTGATTGAACACCTACTATGTGCCATACTGTGTCAGTTTCGGGGATATAAATAATGACGAAGGAGGAGGAGGAAGAGGAGGAGGGGGGGAGAAAGAGCAGGAGAAATAGAAGGAGAAAGAAGAAAGCAAGAAGAATACAGCTACCTCAGTGGACACTTCAATAGACCTAAATTAGTATTGTAGGTGCTTTAAACATATTAACCCACTTAATTCTCATAACAGCTCAATGAGATAAGCAGTGTTATTATCACATATGAGAAAACTGAAGGATAGAGACATTAAGGAACTTCCCTGAGGTCACCCAGCTAATAAGTGTTGGAGCCAGACCCAAGTCCAGGTAGACTAGGCTCCAGGATTCTACCTATGAACCAGTAGGCTGTCCCTCCTGGGATCCCTGTTATCAGAGAGTTTACTTTCTAGTGCAAGGGAGTAAGCAGCCAATCTGTTAATGCAAACTGTGACCAATGTGCCTGGCACTTACTTGGCCATGCCTGGGAAGGCTCCTGAGGGCCTTGCTGCTCAAGCCGATTCTTGAGGAGTGGAAAGGATGAATAAGGAGAGGATGAGATGCAGGGAAGGGTCAGCAGACAGCAGCGTGTGCTCTCATCAAATCCTGGCCCATTTAGGGAGTTGCCTGAGGCTTGGCATGGCTGGAGTAGTTGATAACATTTAACATGACAAAAGCCTGATGTAATGTGGTAATTTATTTTTTTACACAAAATTCTCAACAACAACAAAAGCATTTCAGTGCGTGACCAAAGCCCACAGCAATAGCATGATGTCATATTCCTGTAAGACCCACGCCTTCTGTGGAGTGCTTCTTGATTTCCACAGGAAAAAAAGAATTAGAAAACGATGTGGCTCTTGAGCTCCATCTATTTACATTCCCCTCAGAAGGTTTATAAATGACACCAGAAACAAAAGAAACAAATCTCTCTCATTGCCCCAACTTTCGACAGGGCCCTCTAATCGGGTTAATGGGGCATGTATAGGCACCATTGGGGTGAATCTGTTGTTTTTGTTGCTTTTGGTGCAGACAGAAATGTCTGGAAATGGAAATCAGCCAGAGATGTGTACACTGAAGGGCATTGTCTGCCGTGAATCTTGTTCTGGTCCATCACCTCTGGTCATTAGCATTCTTCCATTCTCAAATTTCTACACTTCACCATCCCAGTGATTGCTACTTTGGACCATTTTTACAATTCAGAAATTCTTTCTATGAGAAGTATCTTCTGATTGTTCACAGAGAATACATAACACAGGATGCTCTCCATATCCCCATCCCTCCCCTCATCTCCGCCCCGCTCTGTGCAAATGTCCGGAACCCTCACACAGCTTCTGAGTACTTCTAACTTTTGTTTGCGTGTACAGATGATAATCCTGAACCCGGCGAAGGCGAGCGAAGGTGGGGGAGTGAATCTCTCTATTGATAGCATTGTAATAATTCCTGTGTCAAACACATTTACGATTTTGAATGCAGTTACCTTTTGCGGTGAAATGTTTCTTGTTCTTTTAAACTGCAGCCTGAATGTAGGTCCTAGCTAAGTTGTTGGAGGTTTTGGTGCAGTCTTTATCACTTTTACATAAAAATCCGTGATTCACCTTCTCTCCTTGAACAGAATACGTTTTAAAATTTGTGCTGTAAGAGGCTGAATTTTCCTGGGTGTAGATGTTGCATTACAGCACCGGTCAAGTACTCCCGAGGGGTGTATCTCTAGTTTGGAGGATAACTTTCATTTTTGCCTCTTATTTTTTCAATGATTACAATGCCTATTTTTTTGACAGACTTTTAAGAGAGAAACAAAATAAATATGTAAAAGGTTGTAAAAGCTGCATCTGAGAACCGCAAGGCTATTATTTTAACTTTATCAGTGGTTGTTCCCTCTCTTATCAGTTCTGTGATATACTTTCAGGAATTCCAAGTGTGTTTGGGTAGGGTTTTCCATAGCTTCATCACTCTGGGGGGAAGTTAATAATGAGCTAAATCATCTGGAAATCTGACTTTAAAAAAAGGTTTAATGTAGGGTCATGGATTGCTGTTTCCCTACATGTGACCTTCCTGCTTTTTCTCTCTGTCTCAGAATTGACCTACTATATGTGTCTCCTTTTTAAGTTTATTATTCACTCATTTAGTTACTCATTTTATTCAACAAGCCCAAAATTGGAGGTCTGAGATTTCAAGGAACTTGAAGTTGCGAGTAGTCGCTAGAAGTTCTAAGAAAATGGTTGATTTGGGTCTTTGTTGACTCCAATCCTCATGGAGAAGCAAGAGTGAAGTTTGTCCACAGGCGGTGGGAAGGAAATGATTGCTAATGATGAACTGGCTGAGTCTTATCTCAAAAAGTTATTCCATCTGAAAAGCAAAAGGCACTTTCTCCTTCATTTTTAGGGGAAAGGGTAAAAAGTCTAAGTCTTCATTTCCTTAAAGGCATAGATTAGATACTTCTTATAAACAGCCTTAGCACCTACTGCATAGTCACTGAAATAGTACGTGTAAATCCATCTATTCTGCGTTTCAGGTTTTGACAAAGCTGATGGTTTTTGAAATGTTAATTATTGTTATTATTTTGCCCTAGTTTTAGGCTATCCTTGCACAGTGACGTTATTGTATTGCTTTTTAAAATAAATGTTTATTTATTTATTTATTTTGAGAGAGAGAGAGAGATGGAGAGAGAGAGAGAGAGATGGAGAGAGAGTGAGAGAGAGAGAATCCTAAGCAGGCTCTGCACTGTTGGTGCAGAGCCCGCCATGGGGCTCGATTTTTACTAACAGTGGTAGTTTCAGGAAAAGGAAGGGCAGGGGAGGGAGGTGGGAGCCATCTCAGCGGGGGAAATGTGGGAGAACTCTGGAGCCATGAGCACTAACTCTAGTCACAAACAAATCGAAGAGATTGTTTGAGGCGGGAATTTGTTCCCTGAACCTTTCATTCAAACTGATGAAACTTTCAACATCACTGGAGGAAAAAAAAAAAAAAGGTGTGATGCTGTTATCACCCAGTTGAGCAATAGGAATGTTGATGGAATTTTGTAGCTGGTTAGCAGGGGAGACATTTGAGGAAGATTAAAAAATACTATATACATACATACGTATCTACATATACAAATGTATACATTTGCTGTTCTGATAGGGAGCAGAGAGAAGGTGATTGCAGTGTGAGTGTAGAAGTGTTTGCAAATTCTTATTCAGAATCTAGGGCCCAAACTATCTCTAAACCTGATATCACACTTGAGTTTTTTCCCAACTTAAACCAGTCCTAATATAGAGGGTGAGGATCACAGGATTTACATGGAGCATAGTTGAGATAAATAACCTTGTATCTGCAAAGGCAAGTGGCTGGGAGGAAGGAAGATTTTAAACTGATAAACAGGCAGGCAGGCACCGTTGTGTGGTCTAAAACCTGGAAACCTCATCGCTAGGCTGTGTTCCCTAGTCTGTGGGCTCTGGATGCAGGCGGGGGAAGAGCTGTGTCAATGGTGGTAGGTGTGGCTGCATAGCTATGGACACCAACATCATCTCCAAACTGAAGTGGCAGTAATAACTCAGCACACTGGCGCTTCGCATGTGCCGGGCACAACCCTGGGGTCTGGATACTATTAGTAGTCCCATTTTTCAGTCAGATACTGGGCTAGGCTTCCAGAGGTGTAATAACTTGCCCAAAGTCATATGGAAGCTTTAGGTAACAATTGGGTTCTCTAGGCAACCTGATGCTGAAAAAAATTTTTTTTTTGTATTTGAAAGGATGGAATGGCAAATAAGCCTTGACTTGTGCACTGAAGTCAATTAATTGCTCATGACTATCTGTGTTGGGAAGGGTGGGAAGGCCATGCCTAGGCCCGTGGGAAAGGCTGCTATGGCCAATTTGTGCTGCTTGAGAGGAGGCGGGAGATGACAGGAGTACAGTGTATCTGCAGGCCCTTTAAATTGTTTTAAAATTTATTTTGGAGAGGGGCGCCTGGGTCAGTTAAGCATCCGACTTTGGCTCAGGTCATGATCTCACAGTCCGTGGGTTTGAGCCCCGCATCAGGCTCTGTGCTGACAGCTTAGAACCTGGAGCCTTCTTCAGATCCTGTGTCTTCCTCTCTCTCTTCCCCTCCCCTGCTCACTCTCTGTCTCTCAAAATAAAATAAAGACATAAAAAATTAAAAAAATTATTTTGGAGAGATAGAGAGAGAGAGCACGTGAGTGGGGGAGAAGGGCAGAGGGACAGAATATAGAGACAATCTTAAGCCCCAGTGCGGGGCTTGATCCCATAACCATGAGATCATAACCTGAGCCTATATCAAGAGTCAGACATTCAACTGACTGAGCCATCCAGGGACCCCTGTAGACCTCTTTAAAATGATATTGCAAGGAGAACTTTAGAATTCATGAAGATTGGTCTTTTCGGTTTTATCATAGAGGACACTCTGTCCCAACCTGGGGAAGTCTGACTCATTTGGTATCATGCCTCTGGACAACTGTGTTTAGGACCCAGGACTCGCAGTTCCCAGTCCTGCACACTTATCTTTAGCACTATTGGTAAATCCAGAGCAGTCCTTCTAGAGAGCATTTCAATGAGAGCAGGTGATTCTCAAGCACTCCTGCACTTTTAAAATGGCTTAAGACAAAGAGACTATCAGCCACATTCTCTCAGCCTTATAAAGCCTCTGTCTGCTGAGGTTGGATTAATTCTTGCAGACCTCAGGATATCAGACTGTTAACACTTTGGGAAGGATTCACCCCAGAATCCCCCAGGGACAGCAGCAGCATGTTTACAGAGTATCCACTCTGGACATAGAAGGGAGGTCATGGAAGCTGCTTCCTCAAACCAAGGCAGCTTAGAGATCGACATGGATAGGAGCTGAGAATCAAACTCAATGAGCTTCACTCCACCCAGCATCAGTGGAGACCTGGATGCTATTTCATGAACTTTGGGCCATACTCTAGGATTCAGAAACAGGAACCTCACAGGCTGCATGCATGTTCCTGGCAGTCATCCCACAGGTAAAGGAGACCACCTACAGGTGTGAGCACCACCTCATTTGTTGGCCTCACTCACTGGTTGCCCCCCAATTCCAGGCTCCTTTCATTCCCCAGGTGGCTAATCCTTGGGTACCACTATCATGCCCATAATTGTAATAGTCAAGAAGCAGCACTGGTCCCATACCCCATAGATGGAGAGGTCCCCAGTAGGTAATTAGCATATTGGACACAGCAGGCCCCTGAAGATATACTGCATTGTTGAGCGCTTACAATAATCAGCTCCCAGGTTTTCCTTTCATTGTTACATTAGGCAAGTGTGGTATGTCTTCCCTAATGGTCTTTGCCTCAAGTTTTATGCTGTGAATCCACTGACCTTACTTGAAGCCTGGGCCACAGCACCCTGCCCTCTGGGCTTTTTCCTTGCCTACTCTCCTCCCATTTACTAGTTAAAATGATTAAATGGGCTCATCTGAGTATCCAGTGGGATTGTCACATGATAATTTTTTCTAAAACTCCACCGATTTCGGTCTCTGTTATTGTATACATAAATTCTAGAGGCTTCCTTTACACACAGTGGCGGCTGGGTTGCTAATGGCCTATCAAAGCCTTTCAGACCCAAGTTGATGAGTTTCATCTCCTTCTTGTTTTGTATTCACCCAATGAAAAGTCATTGGCTCAGCAGGGATTCCCTGCCTGATGGAGCAGAGGTTTAACTGTTTTCATGGTCTGTTTGGCTACTGCTCTGCTCATGCCCCTGATTGTGAGCATGAGAACATGGAAAGATCAAGGACACTGAATCCGTCACTGTCGTTCCTTACATATGTACTGGTGGGTGAAATAAAAGCCACCTCGAGTACGTGGCTGCAAAGAAAGCCGCTTCTAATTCTGAAAACCACAGCAAGTCAGTAGGAGGTCTGTTCCTTGCAAAGGCACACCAGCTCTCAGAAAAGGACATTTGTTTCTTGAAACTGTGAAGTTGTTTTTAAAAAGTGGACAGAATTATTAGACACGTGGAACCAAAATCCCCTGATGTTCACGGCACTGGATTGAATCTAGCACAAATGTATTTGCAGGTGTAGTGACCTTCTGCTATAATGAAGTTGCTCTGTGGGCCAAAAAGAATGAATGAGTTCATTCCTGGAGGCCCTCTGCATTCCCTGATTCATATATGCATTGATCTGGGCAGTGCAGCTTTGTGGGAAAGAAAATCGCATGCAGGTGGGACCGCGTGCCCTTTCTCTTGCATGTTAGTCCCTTGGTTTGAATTTGTATTTTCAAACCAGAGCCTTGTTCGTGGAAGGCTGCTGCAAATCATTCCGCACATTTTGAAATTGTTGGGGAATGTACCAAGAGTTTGAACAGGAAAGATTTTTTCAACATTTCTCCAGGAAACTTTAGCAAGCTACCTCTTGTGTTGAGATGTAGAAAAGTGCTTTGGGTGGAACCCAGAGGCTTGAATGAAGTGTCTTCAGAAATCATCCAGCCCAAACCTCTCATTTACAGTTAAGAAACCAGAAGCACAGAGATGCCCAGGTTACCCAGCTTGACAGTGGTAACATCTGGAGTAGAGCCCATTTTTCTCTTTGTTCAAGGGAATTTCTGCAGCCCCTTCTCTCACTCTACTTCTCTCCCCCCAATGAATTTACCCTTTAAATTAAGAAAAAGATAGAATCCAGAGGAGTATTTCTCAAAATATAGTTCACAAACACTGGAGTCTGAATCACCTTGGATGCCTTTAAAATGCAGATTCCCAGGATTTATCCAGACCTGCTAAATAAAACTGGGGCCTGGGTATTTGCATTCCATCCCCCCCACCCCCCAAAATCTCCTCTGTCATCCTTATGCACATGAGGTTTGAGAACCATTAATCCAGGGCCTATAAATAGGCTGGTGGCACATGGCAGGAAATGACCACTAACTTTCAGCATCACTGAATGTATCTTGAGAAGACAATTATCCATTGTTTCTTGCTGTTTTCAGTGCCAGTCATGTAGTGAGTTGAATGGAACTAATGATGGTTCAAAGAGTAATTACATTGGCTTCCCTGTTTTCCTAACGTCTTCTCTGTGCATAACTGTAACTATTAATATTAACTCCCTTTTCCCACCCGACAATATTTATCTGCTGTATATTGCTCCGCTGTACTTACTGGAAAGGAAATGAATGCTTAGCAAGTATCCTCAAATATATAAGCCCACTCCAGACTCCGTTGATACACAGTACCTGGCCTCAAAATGTCTCACAATGAGGCCACAAATAGTTCAGTCAGAGTCCCAATTACCTTTCCACGCAGGTAATTATTACTTCTGCCATTTAAGTGAAATTTCAGTACATTGCTTATGGCAATAAATTTAGGACCATATTTATGCTCTTTCCCCGCTTCTATTCATAGCATAGATTTAAAATTCCATTTCTTTTGGGATATAGTTCTGAACTGTCCTTCCATATGAATTTGTCTGATAATACGTAAAATAATACCATAATCTCATTTCCCCCCTCAGCTTCTAACAGACTTAACAAAACAAAATCCCTAACATGCAAGCTACCCTGCATTTTTAGAGAGTACCATATTTCATGGCAGACCTGAGCAGCTCTGTGGAAATACTGAGCTGTGTTATAGAAATGTCACATCATGGCACTTTGGTAGTCTCATTATGGAGTTTAATGGGTTTTGTGGTATGTTTTACAGCATGCTCTTTCTGACAAGGCATGTGTGAAAGCCTTTGACCCAAAGACAACTTGCTTACAGGAATGCCTTATCACCACTTTCCAGGAAGCGTACTTTGTTTCAGAAAGTTTTGAAGAAGCCAAAGAAAAGATGAGGTAAAGCTTGTGTTTCTTCCGTCTCCAGAATATTACTTCTTATTTTTCTGGCTCTGTTCCTTCCTTCTGTCTGTATCTCCTGTACCAATGAGAGTTGATCACATATCCTTCTATTTCTGTTTATTTTGCAGGGACTTTGCAAAGTCAATTACCCGTCCCTTTTCTGTGTACTTCAATCCCTATACACAGAGTATTGAAATTCTGAAAGACACCAGAAGTATTGAAAATGTGGTGCAGGACCTTCGCAGTGATTTGAACACAGTGTGTGATGCCTTGAACAAAATGAACCAGTATCTGGGGATTTGATGCCTCAGACCATTGTCATTGCCAGCATGGTCTTTTTGGGGGCTTAGCAGCAATTCAGTCAATGTCCTATAACACCAATAACTTTCTGTGTCATGGCTTGGCTAGTGAGCATGCAATCTGTACAATTCTGCATATCTCTATCTGCTTGTAATTTACTGTGTTAATGTGTGAAACACCATAAAGAACCCAATGACAGAAAACCACTCATTGTTTGAAATATTGTAACATGTTTAAATGTCTTAAATAGATTTGACATTCTTGCTTGGTGTCCTTAACCAAGCCGCAGCTATTTAAAATTTGTAGCAAATAGTCCTCTTATGATTCTAGCTTATTACTTTTTTTTTCCTCAGATCTGAGCTTTTCTTCTGTGTTCATTAGATAAAATGAGAATAGCAGTGAAACTGTTTCTATTTTCTATAGTATCAGTGTTTCCACAGCATTATTTGAGATAAACTCAGAATTGTGTGAAAACTCCCGTCACATTAACAAAAGATTCAGTATTCTGTTTCAAAAATGAAAACTAGTGAGCACACTGGTTGCAATGGTTTTTAGGTTGAATATTTATACAATGTAAAAAAAAAAAAAAAGAGAGAGAACATTTTACAAATGGAACATGTAGGTGGCACTGACCGGGTAGAAACTGAGTTGTGGCATGCTTTCCAAAGTATTTTGGAAGAAAAATACTTCCAGAAAGGACATTAGGAAAGACTAAACAGCAGGCAGAAAGTCTTGGGACTATGAATTTTATGCTGGAATAAAGAGAATTACCATGCTTAGGTATTTAACCCATTTCTCTTAGAGAACAATAATATCATAGAGCTTGGGCTTCAAAACTACAGAAATTGGGGCACCTGGGTGGCTCAGTCAGTTAAGCATCTGACTTCGGCTCAGGTCATGATCTCATGGTTCGTGGGTTCGAGCCCCGCGTCGGGCTCTGTGCTGACAGCTCAGGGCCTGGAGCCTGCTTCAGATTCTGTGTTTCCCTCTTTCTCTGACACTCCTCTGCTCATGCTCTCTCTCTCTCTCAGAAATAAGTAAAACATTAAAAAAATTAAAAAAATTTAAAAATGCAGAAATTGAATCTCAGAGAGGTTAAGTGATTTGCCCCAAGCAGCACCGTTAGTTGTGCACTAACATTGACAGCCCATTGCATCTCACTTTTGGATTGCTGAGAAGTTCAACTTGGTGTATTTGTGGGTAGTCAGAGAAGGGGAAACTAATACTTACAAAATTAATGTTTATCACTAAGTACGATTTGGGTTTTGATCAAGGGCTTCCAAGAGCACAGATGTTTCCTCTCATGGCCCCAAAACCCAGCCAGATCTCTGCGAGTTTGTCCACTTTGCCCAGAGTTTGGGCAAATTTGGGCAAATAATGGTGGTGAATCACAAATCTCTATTCATCTTTGCTGTAAGAGGTATAATCAGGTGACTAAGTGAACAAATAAAAAACTGAATGAGTAAATAAATTTCTTCTTCTGATTCTCTCAACAAACACAACCACTGTTCCTCACATTGTACTTTTGTCACGCTGAATGCTGGGTGGACAAAGGAAGGGATGGGAAAAAGAGACAAAAAAGGTGACAAAATGACTTTTAGGTTAGCAATTCTACAATATTTACTTAAGCAATTTCTAAGATGTTCTTTAATACTAAATTGCACGTGATTTCAAACAAATTCATACTCATATGGGTCCATTATGAGTCAGAAACTTTTGAACTAGATGTACTCAGGAAGAACATGAAAAAGAGTGAAAATATGCATCTGAGAGAGGTAAAATGAAAATAAGAGGCTTGAATAGTGATTCCTTAACTACTGAGGATCTTTCATTTCTTTTTTTTTTTTTAGTAGTTTATTGTCAAGTTGGTTTCCATATAACACCCAATGCTCATCCCCGCAAGTGCCCTCCTCCATGCCCATCACCCCCTTCCCGCTCCCCCCACCCCATCTGCCCTCAGTTTGTTTTCAGCATTCAAGAGTCTCTCATGGTTTGCCTCCCTCCTTCTCCCCCACTATTTTCCCCCTTCTTCTCCCCCATGGTCCTCTATTAAGTTCCTCCTAATCCTCCTATATGTGCAAACATATGGTATCTGTCCTTCTTTGCCTGACATATTTCGCTCAGCATAACACCCTCAAGTTCCATCCATGTTGCTACACATGGCCAGATTTCATTCTTTCTCATTACCATGTAGTATTCCATTGTATAGATAAACCATATCTTCTTGATCCATTTGTCAGCTGATGGACACTTAAGCTCTTTCCGTGTTTTGGCTATTGTTGAGAGTGCTGCTATGAACATTGGGGTACATGTGCCCCTATGCATCAGAGCTCCTGTAGAGGATCTTTCATTTGTGAAGGATTCTTGGAGCAACTGAGTTTTGGAAAGGGATTTGGTAGACAGAATGGGACAGATATGCAGTTTCAATTCTATTTTAAATGGAAGAGATAGTGCCTTGAGAGATTATTGGTGGTAGAGAAGTGATGAGTAAGCTGAACCAAAATGATCTAGAATGATCAAGTAGTTGTATATTTCAGTAGTTTTATAGATTCCAAAACACATAGTTTCTTATAACTTGTTTTGCTAGATCGAGATGACCCCCAGTCATTATTTACTTATAAATTCTAATCTAGAACAATAAACCCAGAAAGTTCCACAACTAGTTGCTGAGTTTTCTCAAAGAAGAACACTGGCCAACTCTTAATATCTGCCTTCTGCCTTGTTTTCATAATTGAGTGTAATAAGTAGCCATCAGGCTTTTCCTTTCTAGCCCCATGAAAGGGAAGGTTCTCAGTTAAGTGGACTGGAAGAAGAATTATATTTAACTGTAAACAAATTCCCTCAACAAAAATTACACTTGAGTTATCTTCTGATTGGCTTACAGTGACATTTTTTTTCACATGTGCAAAATCTATGTTGTTTCAAAAATAGAAGAGTTGCAAAGTAAATAGGGTTTCCCACAGAGCTTATATAGTTATCATATAAGGGGAGGAATTACATAATTCTTTTTAGATTTGTTCTCCATTTGGAAGAGCAGTAACCATGGTTTTCACCCTGTGAAACAATGGAATCATGGTTTTCATTTGTTGTGAGCATTTAATACACAAATGCTATTGCAACTAATGGTGGGAAAAACCTATAAAATTTAATAGCCATCATAGGAAAAGTGTTGGCAGAAAAAGTTCCCAAATGGAAATAGTACAACCAAATAATCACAGCTAGCTTCTTGTCATATTTGATACCTGCTTAGTGTAACCATCTGTCTCACTTATGACTCATGACTTAAAGCTAAATTAAATAGAATCAAGGGCAATTATAAATTTAAAGATGCTTGCTCACTGTCATCTCATTGTGAACTGCTACTTTATTTGACTTTGCTGCTGACTTCTATAACCAGCTGATCAGGAACCAACCCAAGTTTCCTGGCAATACCAGCTTTCTTATGCATCATGCATTGGCAAAAGACAGCCAGAAATCTGATTAGTACAGTTTTCTTCTTGACTCACTTTTTGTCTGTTACAAGTTAGGGTCAGGCATCCAATGTATTCTTGGGTGATTGATTTATTTGGCATAATGAGAGCTTAATAGATTGTTCATAAATTGATCTTATAAAAGTAAGGAACTTTGACTCAACCAAGGTTGCTAATTAAAAAAATTTTTTTTTTTAACTTTTGTGGTAAGGGTTGTGGAGCTTGGGTTTCTGGCTTAGTCTCATTTATTTACTGTGTAATTTAGAAATGATGCTTTATGGGGATGATATATGTGTGCTTGTCTTGCTTGCACATAGTAGATGGGACTGTGCCTAATGAATGTAAAGTATTGCAACATTTACCAACATGAAAAGTCCAAAATGAAAAACAGTGTGCTTTAACGTGGAAGCAAATAGAAATACAAGGTTTCATTTTCAAATGGAGTCATGGCTCACATCATCTCATTTTCTTCATTCGAGAAAGAAAACATTAACACACGACGTAGTTTTCCTCCAATTCATTTGATCTAATTTTCAACTTCTAAAGAACCAAGCACTGAGGCTTACTCTCATGAACCTCGTCTTCCTTATAATGAAAAAGAAAGCAGCCCAGAGTTTTCTAGTGGGTCTGAGTTTTTTTTATTCCTCTTCAATTTCCAAAGACATTCTCTTATTTTGGGAAATGATTCTTATGCAGACTGCCATATTTTGGGAAGAGGCAAGGGAATTAATAGTGAGATACTGCTTCTTCTAATATTAAATTTGCATGTGTTCAAAATAAACCAGTTCTGGAACATGAAATGGTGGTTCTTTATAATATATATATGACCTGGGGTCTCAAAACACTCATTCAGTGGCTTAGACCATATAAGGGACTGTATGAGACACTTTTCTATACACTGAGGATATAGTGGTAAGTAAGGGAGCAAAAGTTCTGCCCACTTTGAACTTCTATTCAGGTAGGCAAATACAGGCAAAAAGCCAGATTATTTGAGACCACAGCAAATTCTATGAAGAAATTGGAGTGATAGGGAGCAATGGTCAGGGGGAAGGAGTAAGGTGACTAGGGAAAGCTTTTCTGAGCATATGGCATTGGGCTAAGAACCATGGGATGTGAAGAAGCCAGGCATGAAGAGCCCCATGGAAAGTGTGTTTCTGGAAGAGGGGACAGCAAGATCAAAGCCAATGGACGCCTACAGAGGAAGGACAAGAGGCAGAATGGGAGGCAAGGATGAGATAACACATGGTTTCAGAGAGGGTCGGGTATGTTCTGAATGGAGTGGAAGGTCACTGGAGAGCTGGAGCAAGACAGTGACAAGATCTGATTAACATTGTTAAGAGGTTACTCAGCTGCTGTGTGGAAATGAATCAAAGGGGCATGGGAGGGTGGGGTAAAACCAATTAGGAGGCTATTGCAATGCTAGGGAGTCCATATCTTGCTGCATCATGGTGGACATTATTAAAAATAGTTGTAATTAACTAAGTTACAGAGTTGAGTGGGTGGATTAGAACTGTCAGATGAAAAATGGGGAAACAGGAAAAATGGTACCCAGGTTATCATGTGGAGAAGCATATATCCAATGATATATCCTGTGTATTTTGCAAATACTTAACTTCCTTTGACAAAGCAATATTAGATTAAACTTTTTCTGGCCAGCTTAAGGATAAAAAGCCATGCAATTTTTCCCTCATGACTCACAAATATTAACTG